CAGCAGGAGGCTATGAAGGAGGAACATCGGAAGAGTGAGCGTACTGTGGGTAAGGTTTCCTCCTTCAAATATGATAGTCGTGGGTTGTTGACACTACACCGTAGAGTGTGGGTTCCATATCATGGAGGTGTGTGCCAGGTTCTGATGAAGGAGGAGCACAAATCCAGATTTTCTATTCATCCCGGGGCGACGAAGATGTACAGAGATCTTCGTCCTGATTACCGGTGACCCTGCATGAAGAGGGATGTAGCCTGGTACGTCGAGAGATGCCTGGCCTCAGGAAGGTCAAGGTAGAGCACCAGAGGCCTCACGACAATACACATCCGTTAGATATCCCTATGTGGAAGTGGGAAGATATTACTATGGATTTCATCACAAAGCTTCCCAGGACCGCACGAGGGGTGGATTCGATTTGGGTCATCGTGGATCAGTTGACCAAGAGTGCTCATTTCATACCGATCCAGGAGAGCATCTCGGCCGAGAAGCTGGCTGATATCTACATCAGAGAGGTAGTAGCTCGACACGGAGTGCCCGTTTCCGTGATTTCTGATCGAGATGTGCGATTCACTTCCAGATTCTGGAAGAAATTCCATGACGAGTTGGGTACTCGTCTGCATTTTAGCATGGCTTTCCACCCTTTGACGGATGGTCAGAGTGAGAGAACCATCCAGACCTTAGAGGACATGCTGTGATCATGCGCATTAGACTTCAGTGGTAGCTGGGATACCTACCTTCCCTTGGCAGAGTTTTCCTACAATAATAGCTACCACGCGAGTATCGACCATCCTCCCTTAGAGATGTTATACGGGAGGAAGTGCTGAACCCCGATATGCTGGGGTGAGGTTGGACAGAGAGTCATGGGGAGTACCGAGGTGGTACTCAATACGACAGAGAGGATCCAGTAGGTCTGAAGCAGGCTTCAGACTGCTCAGAGTCGGCAGAAGAGCTATTCCGACAAGCGCCGATCGGACCTGGAGTTTCAGGTGGGAGATAGGGTTCTCCTGAAGGTGTCACCTTGGAAAGGTGTCATCCGATTCAGGAAGTGGGGCAAGTTGGGCCCCAGATACATTGGTCCTTTCAGGGTTGCAGCCCGGGTGGGCAAGGTGGCGTATAGGCTGGATCTGCTAGCCGAGCTTAGTCAGATCCACAATACCTTTCATGTCTCCCAGCTGTGGAAGTGCCTGGTAGACGACTCTGCGGTGGTGCCTCTAGAGGATATCCAGGTTGATGACAGCCTGAACTACATTGAGCGACCAGTAGCCATCATCGACTGGAAGATGAAGGATTTGAGGAACAAGAAGGTCGAGTTGGTGAAGGTGCAATGGCAGTACCATAAGGGCTTAGAATGGACATGAGAGCCGTAGGACGAGATGAGGGAGCACTACCCGGATCTTTTTTCAGATGCAGCAGCAGACTTTGAGGACGAAGTCCAAAATAAGTGGCGGAGATTTGTAACGCCCGGTTCCTGGTACGTATTTTAAATAAGAATTATGCATTTTTACAAAGGGACTCAATGAGTTGGAGGCCCCAAACTCGTCGAGTAAGAATTTGATATGTTGGACGCGGGACTTGAAGTCTACTTGACGAGTCGAGGAGCCTCGACTTGACGAGTAGGCTTGCCAGAGTGAAACCCTAATTTTCAGGGTTTGCACCCTATTTAAACACCTTAACACCCCCATTGTGGCCTCCCTCATCGCCTCCCTTAGTCTAGAAAACCCTAATTCGAAACCCTAACCCATTTTAAGTGTTCTTGAGCCATTTTTGTGTGTTCTTGGTGGTTTTGAAGCTTGAGAAGGAAGAAGAAGCTTGGGAGTTCAAGAAGAAGCAAGTAGATCCAGAGGTTGTGTCCCGTTTCCAGCTTATTTTAGGTATAAAGTTTATACCTTGACCATTCTTCTATTAGATTTCTTCATGGAGTAATTTAGGGCTTTAAGGAGCCATTTTTGGAACCATTCATGGATGCAAGCGTGTTTTAGGGTTATGACTTCAGATCCAGGGTCCTTGAGGGACTCCATGGCATAAAGGTGCCAACTTTATGGCCATGGGAGTTCCATGCATCCTATGAACCAGTTTTTAGGGCTTTTTGAGCTAAATAGCCCATCATGAGCGTAAAGTTTGTAACTTTACGTGTTATATCGACCCTAGGAGGCCAGATCTATGTTTTGGATGCGTTAAGCCCGATTGAAATCGACTGTATAGTTTTGGATCATAGGGGACTCGACGAGTCGTTCTTAGGACTCGGCGAGTCGGGTCGTGGTCCCCCCAACCTTCTCTGTTATTTAGAAACTTGTTGAGTCTAGAAGATAACTCAGCCAATTAGACGTGTTTTGGACTCAAAGGTCAAGAACTCGACGAGTCCAAGGATGAACTCGCCGAGTCAGTGAATGAATGTCCCGACTGTATGAAGGAGAACTCGACGAGTTCAAATGGAAAGTCCCGATTCTGTCATAAGGAGAAACTCGGCGAGTTAGAAGGTAACTTGACGAGTCAGATCGCGAATTTGAGATTCTCTGAATTATGGAACTCGACGAGTTGATGGACCAACTCGGCGAGTTGAGTCAACCAGGAGGTTGACTTTGACAGAGCGTTGATTTTGACTTTGACTTTGACTTTGACTTTGACTTTGACCATTACCCAAGATTGACCCTTAAAGGGGATATGGATATGAAGGAGTAACTAAAGGAGATTGTTATGTGTAGGAGTTTGAGGAGAGTTGATAACGACACCGAGGACAGTTCAGTTACTGCACGACATTGAGGTGAGTTACCTTCCAGTAGAAGTGGGTCTAAGGCCACAATGTCAGCCCACTAGTAGGAGCAGTTAGTTAGATGATTGTCTTCGTGATAATTGTCTGATATGCCACTATCTGTTATGCTTTATGTGATAGTATGTTATGTTATTATGTGGTAGTGGTAGGGGTGAAATAGTCCCTAGTTACCGGTTGAAAGATACCGAGGGGGAGGCCAGCTCCCAGTTATGCTAGGCGGTTACTGGTTGAAAGATACCGAAGAAAAGGCCAACATCCAGTTATGATATGTAGTTACCGGTTGAAAGATACCAAAGGGGAGTCCAACTCCCAGTTATGCTAGGCGGTTACCGATTGAAAGATACTAAAGAAAAGGCCAGCATCCAGTTAGTCCATGCAGTTACCGGTTGAAAGATACCGAAGAGATAGGCATTATGTGTTTGTATGGTATGTGGTATGATGGGGAAACTTACTAAGCTTTGTGCTTAAAATTTACAGTTTTTGTTTCAGGTCCTTCTTCTTCAAAGGGAAAGGAGCCGGCTCGGTAGCAGCGCATCACACCATTATTTTCCGCACTATGATGTTATGGGGATTGTACTCTGACATTATTATTCCATGACATGTTTTATGACATTTGACTTAGACGTTTGTGGGTTTGATATGATATTGATGATGTTTTTAGTAAACTGTTTTATAAATTACTTAATTAAAAACGAAATTTTTGGTTTTGAAATTTGGGATGTTACAAATAAATTAATAAATCATTCTTCTCTCTCTAACAGTCATCCTATTCCATTGCCAGGTTTGAAGGCAACCTAAAAGGACATTGCTACTATCAATTCAAGTTTATACCAATTATAGTTATGGGCTTAGACACCTAATCCAACAGTTATACGTTGGGCGTAACCCATCTTACGTTGGGCGTACCCATCCAAGCACATGCATGCTTCCTTGCATGCATGGACTGATCCGCCAAATCTTTCCGTTAGGGGCTAATTCTGTCAAAACTTTCAAAGTGTCATAACTCACTCTTCCTAAGTCCGTTTCCAACCCCATGCCAACTGATATTGGGGTAATTCTATCAAAACCTTCAGATTAAAACCCAAAACCATTAAAAGACCGAGATATCAATTTACAGTCATACCCTTGGCTTCCGAAGACATAATCGAATACATGGTTCACTTATACCATGACAACTACATCCGATATGGGCTAAATCCTTCCTTGCCCAAAGCTCCTAACCTCATAACAACTGATATTGGGCCGCAGCCCCAAGCAACGAGGTAAATCTGAAACCGAGTGTTACATCTAGTCTTCAATGAGAGCAAGAGAGGGAGAGAAAGAGAAGCTACATTTATGAATCTCAAAAGGAAGAAAGCAACCAACAAACGAAAGCCTTTAGGTTGTTTACACACATACACACACACACACATCTGAGAGGCTATACATTCATTTAATGCTAATGTATGACAAGTAAGAGGCTTGTCATGTGTAAGAGAAGTCAAACAAGCAAGCACATCCATGCCTTGCATGGGTGTGACCATATGTTTGTCCAAGATGGGGCCAAGAAGTGTTAAACACCCTTTCTTAAATAACTAATGTACATATTAATGTTAGTGATATCTAATATGCCAAAAAATATGCACATGGCATATTATATCATATAACATGATATAATAAGTAGTTATATCCTCTAGACACATTATTTTCATAAAATAATATTTTCCCTAACTAAATATAAGAGTTGATTATATTTATTAGTAATCATATAAATAATAATTATTCAATATGTGCCAACTTGATTAAGGTCTAACCCTATAAGATCATATGTTATTAGCAAATATCATTCAATAATAACTCTTAAGGATATAGATCTAACATATCCATAACATATCAACACCTTCTCACCCATTATAAGTTTATAACCATATCAATAATGTTCAATTCTAATAACTTCAAGTAAACATGCTATTTCCATAGAGAACAACACGTCCTTTAAGCTCTAATCCATCGGTGTCAGTATTCAAGTACGTTTATAACCTGATCAATAATGTTAAATTCAGACGGCTTCAAATAAACATGTTACTTCCATAAAGAACAACACGTCCCTTGAGATCCAATCCATTGGTGTCATATATCTAGTGGAATTAATAATATTTTCATTTAACATGGGTAGAACGAATAAGAAAAAAAATATTTAATTTCTGTTTTATTATATATAATATATAATATAATAATAATTCCAACAAGCCCTCGTAAGTATACACACATGCCATAGATGCATTCATGGCTATGATGCTTGGTTCCATATTCAAAGAACCGACACAGCCGGCCGTGATAAGTGTTTAACTCCAACAACAGGAGCAACTTGGTTGGGTCAATTTTGCTGCACTCTCGATTTCTTCATCTTTCTCCAACCGAAGAGGAAGGAGAGTTGACTCTCAAATCCGTTCGAGTCACGTTGCCGATCATGGCAGCTAGGAAAAATCTGACAACAACTAATCACCTCCGTCATTTGGAGTCAATGGCGACTCACCCGTCGGGCGCCGGCAAGATACCAAGGCTTAATGCCGTGATACTCGGCGAATCTCTTGCATCCGAGGAGGACGATCTGGTTTTTCCCAGTCACGATTTCTCCCAACAGGCACACGTACCCTCTCCCCAAAAGGTATCATCCTAAAAAAGTGATCAATAGCAGATCATCTGCATATATTGTTTTCATTTCGTCGGATAAATAGAGTCGGTGTCGAGTCAAATACATAAGTTTTGAACTATAGAAGCGATACTCTTGTTTTGATTATTGAGAAACGATTGATGTCTACATGAACATGTAGCACTATAATTTCAGTGAGAAAATATTTTGACCTAAGAAGTAAAAAGAGAGGACATAACGACTATTTCAATTTGAAGTTTTCTACTTTGGATTTTCAAAATACTAAGTAAACTCTAATCACAAGAAGGAAACAAGTCTTATTTTCTGTTGTTTTTCATAAACACTTTCATCATATAATTGATGATTTGGGGCACCATTTCAGTACTTGGAGATGTACAACAGATCAATTGTAGACCCTGGTGGCTTTTGGTCTGATATTGCAGCAGAATTCTATTGGAAAGAGAAATGGGGTCAACAGGTTTACTCAGAGAATCTTGATGTTACAAAAGGGAATATCAAAATTGAGGTAAACAATACTTTTTATCTTTCTGACATCTTATATCACACAAATCGGCCATTGGCCATTCCTATCTATCTATCTATCTACTCAGTGGTTCAAGGGTGGCATCACCAACATCTGTTATAACTGCTTGGATAAAAACATTGAGTCTGGGAATGGCGATAAAGTTGCACTTCATTGGGAAGGAAATGAGCCTGATGTTGATGGCTCTTTGACTTACAGACAACTGTTTGAGAGAGTCTGCCAGGTTTGATTCTTTCACAACTTCTTTTACTTACTCTGCTTATATCGAGTATACAAATACAAATTATCAAATGGGTTAAGATCACAGAATATCAACTTACTTACTAGATAGAGCAACCACAATAGGAGCTTTTGCAACAACTTTTTCAAACCAAAAAGCTCTTGAGAAATGAAAAAGCTATTGGATGAGCTTTTTAAATTATTGTGTGGGTCCCATATACAAACAACCCATAAAAAGCAAATGGATTTAATTTAAGTTTTTTCTCCTATCGTGGATGCTAGTCATTTTACTTACACGCCACATAGACGCCATGTCAGCAAAACTTAGTTGTATACCTTATAAGGAGTGACGTTCTTGTGAGTAGAATGACTTAGTATGTATGAAAAAAGGTAGGAGAAATCAAAAAGTAGGTTGTGTTTTTTTGTGATTTTATTCTTCTTACATTTGATTTGACAGCTTGCAAATTTTTTGAAAGACAATGGTGTTAAAAAGGACGATACTGTAATTATTTACTTACCCATGCTGATGGAACTGCCAATCACAATGCTGGCATGTGCTCGCATTGGTGCTGTCCACTCGGTAAAGCCATTCAAATTCAAATTATATAAAATTTTATTTCATGACTATCCAGAAATATTAAACTTTGAGTTTCAGGTTGTTTTTGCTGGATACTCTGCAGAATCACTTCTTCAAAGAATTATGGATTGCAAACCAAAGATTGTGGTAACTTGCAATGCGGTTAAAAGAGGGAAAAAAGTACTCAATCTCAAGGAGATTGTTGATGCTGCACTCTCAGAATCATCTCAAAATGGAATATCTGTAGGTGAGATCTTTTGATCTTATATATAGTAGATGTTTTCAGAATGCATATGCATATATTTATTTGCCTATTCATGACAATGACATTGTTTTCTTCTTCTATGTTACAAAAAATAGATTCATGCTTGACATACGAAAATGAATCAGCCATGAAGAAGGAAGATACTAAATGGCAGAAAGGAAGAGATATTTGGTGGCAGGTAGTAATACTATTTTCACCTACAGATATAATTTATATCATCATGTTCATTAAACTTTAGGCCTTTTGGACTTTTTTTTTTGCAGGATGTTGTTCCTAAATATCCTACTACATGTGATGTGGTGTGGGTGGATGCGGAGGATCCACTTTTTCTTCTTTATACAAGTGGAAGCACCGGAAAGCCCAAGGTATTTAAGTTTCTTATAATTATGTTTTTCTTCTCATTTTTTTTTCAATGAATCATATGCTGGTGCACGTGATAGGGTGTTCTGCATACCACAGGAGGATACATGATATACACTGCAACAACATTCAAATATGCATTTGATTACAAAGAATCTGACATATATTGGTAAATCTTGATTTTTGAAATAGTGGTGGCATGTCATCATATTTTCTAATGATCATCACAAAATTTTAGGTGTACAGCTGACTGTGGTTGGATTACTGGACACAGCTATGTTACTTATGGACCTTTGCTTAATGGAGCAACAGTTATACTTTATGAAGGGGTAAGTAAAGCAATTCAGTTTTTGTTATTACTGTATACAAATAAAGTAGATTGTCATTTTAGGGAGCCAAATGGCCCGACTCTTGTTTCTCTTTAACACAATGAAATTCTCCTATAAGCCATTTAAGAAATAGCATTGTACTTCTGTTTATTTGTTTATTATATCACCCTGCTTTCATTTTTTTTTTCCAATTACCAAGGCCTTGTACTTTGAAAAATCTACCCACTTATAGTGTTATGCTTTCATTTTTTTTCCTTCTTATTTAGACATTGTAGTTTAAAATTCTAGCCAATTATAAGAATGAGTTATTTGGGTGACATTGCTTTTATTGGGTAGATTCTGCAAAATACAATGTTGTAATAGGAGAAAATGAAAGTAGGGTATTATAAATTATAAATTATAAGAAAGTATGTTGCTATTTAACTGTTTAAATGCATTAGGTTCCTAACTACCCAGATTCTGGACGTTGTTGGGAGATTGTTGACAAATACAAAGTGACAATATTCTACACTGCTCCAACACTAGTGCGATCTCTTATGCGTGATGGAAACGAGGCAAGTTTTCCTCTTAATTTTCTTATATGTTTGCTGTTTCTATTGGAATGAATATCTTTTTTTTTAAATATATACTTTTTACTCCCTGATTAGGTCATGCCTCAATGAAACAACCCATAAGAAAATATATTTGTTATCAACAATACCAATAGAAAAAAAAATATATTTTTTTGCATTGTTGTTTAATAACAATGTTACCTTGCTCTTCTCCTCTTCTATGACCATACTTCACTTACGTAAGAGGGCGAAAGATCTGTTATGAACTCACTGAGAAGATAAATCACAACATTAAGAATAAACAAGCTTCACTGTTTGTAATTGATGATACTCAAAATAACACAAGAAAAAGCCTATTGCTTACTAGAATCTTGAGAGTCTAGTTCTCTCCCAAAGGTACAATGACTAGAAATTCTACAAAAGATACCCTACCCTCTTTTCCTCTATGCAGTCTGTTCCAGCAACTAAAATAGTATAAATACCCAAATAAAAAGATGCTCTTTATCTTTGCTAAATTCCCATAATTACCCCTAACTAACCACTTGACCAATATCAGAGGTATATCTATGCTAAGTATTGGATATATTTTTATATATATATTTTTTTACAAAATATGATTGTATACCATGATCATAAACAAGAAAAATGTCATCACATTTCGCTTAATAGTTTTAATATTTTGTCCTTATAAAATCAAACTTTTTTTTTTCTTTTGTAAAAGTGGTTGGTATAAAAAGTCATATTTTAAAAAGTTGATGTTATGGAACCAATCAAAATTTCAAGAAAAATAAGTTTATCATTTTTTAACATATGTAACACATGCAAACCAGACACATTTTTTTTACAAAATCTTAAGTTATAAACCAAGTCACTTCTGTAAAAGAAATTCAAATTCGTGAATAGTCATTTACAAAACTTTATCATTTTAAAAGCACATACTTGGAGATTCATCGTCATGAAAGTATGAAATAAATTTTAAAAAAGGATAGGAGTGTTCAAAGTGAGAAAAATAATGAAGAAATGTTTATAATGTTATAAACACTTAAATGGATCGACCCACTTTTTCCACCTGTTAGCAGCCATGATTTGTTTCAAATTCTTGACCCTGTTTTTAGGTTGGGAGGGGGGAGGGCATATTTGTAATTTTTCCTCTAATCACATATTAATCTTGTGTGTGTGTTGACCATGCAGTATGTTACTCGATACTCTCGTAAATCTTTACGGGTTCTTGGTAGTGTAGGCGAGCCCATCAATCCAAGTGCATGGAGGTTCTTTCCCTTCTCGGCTTTCATATTTATTAAAATTTTTTTTTTTTGCAAAAAAAAAAAAAAAGATTTTTATTGTTTGTAACTTCATCCGAAAATTCCTTTTATTGACTTCACTTGACAGGTGGTTTTTCAATGTAGTTGGAGATTCAAGGTGTCCAATATCAGATACCTGGTGGCAAACAGAGACAGGAGGCTTCATGGTACACCCACCCTCATATTAATTAATTACCCTTGACTGCAGAAAAAAAAAAGAAGCAATGTAGTTCTATTTATTTGTTTATTACAGCATCCTACTTTGTATTATAGCAATTTTTGGAAAATCTACCTAATTATAGACGAAGCAATTTTCACTGCTATAATTGGTAGATTTCTCTAAAGCACATTGTTGCAATAAGAAAATATCGAAAGTACAATGTTATAATTGGATACATCTCCTGGTTTTCAAAGTACAGTGCCTTAATAAGATATATATATATATATATATATATATATATATATATATATATATATATATAGATTTGAAAATCAGAATGCTATAATAGAAAGAAATGATGATAAATGAAAGTATATGTTGGTATTTCTTACATTTAGCCGTATTAGTAATAACTATGATTGGTGTTCACCTTATTATTGTCTCCAGATTACTCCTTTACCTGGAGCATGGCCTCAAAAACCTGGATCTGCTACTTTCCCATTTTTTGGGGTTGAGGTACCCTACCCTACCCTACCCTACCCCTACAAAGAAAATGAAATTGTTAGTTATTTAATTCTTGATTTGGTAAGTGCAGCCTGTGATAGTGGATGAGAAGGGAAAAGAAATTGAAGGGGAATGCAGCGGGTATTTATGTGTTAAAAGCTCATGGCCAGGGGCATTTAGGACTCTTTATGGTGATCATGATAGATATGAAACAACTTATTTTAAGCCATTTCCTGGCTATTATTTTAGTGGTGATGGCTGCAGTAGGTAATTTTTATTCATTCATCTCATCTCATCTCATCTCATAGGTTGCCTGATAAGCTCTGATAAAGTAACAGATTTTGGTAAATATAAAATGACATAAAGGGTATTATATAACCAAAAATGAGCATATATTTGGAGAACTTGTGGAAAAGCTGCTAAACTGCAATAAGCTCAAAAAACATCATATGTTTTATATTCTTGAGTTAGGTGAGAATGTTAAGTTTTGTTTTAGGGACAAGAATGGATACCATTGGCTGACAGGGAGAGTTGATGACGTAATAAATGTCAGGTATATCTAATAAAAAATAAATCAACACAACAGAATAATACCAAACAAGTTTGTATTTTATTTATTAATTTATAACGCTTTGGAATATCAACAGTGGACACCGTATTGGTACAGCAGAAGTTGAATCAGCTCTAGTTTCACATCCTCAATGTGCTGAAGCAGCTGTTGTTGGTGTTGAACATGAGGTAACTCTCTCTCTCTCTCTCTCTCTCTCTCTCTCTCTCTCTCTTTTTCTCTCTCAGGTCAGGGGCATTCTTGGTACATGAATTTATGATATGTTTTTGTGTTATTAGGTGAAAGGGCAGGGGATATATGCGTTTGTTACTTTGGTGGAGGGTGTTCCATATACTGAAGATCTTCGCAAAAGCCTTGTGCTTGTTGTTCGAAACCAAGTAAGTTTTCATTTTTAAATCTAAAAAATCTTTTTAAATTTATTTATTTAGGGCTTGGAATGCCATATTCTTTTTTTTTTTTTGATCAAGTTTAGTCTGGATATAACACAAACAGAAAGAAAACAAAGAAAGTAGAATGGACGAGCATTATGAGTTTCCATAGAGAGAGAGTTAATTGGATAAAGTTATTGCTATTATAGGAAAAAATGGAAGTACAATGCTACAATTGGGTACATGTTGTAATAGAAAGAAATGAAAGTCAAATGTTATAATAAGCAAATGTTATAACAGCGTACTTCCATTGATTCGTTTATTATAGCATCCTCCTCTAGTTTCTTCTTATTACAACATTGAAAAACTTATTCAATTAAAACAATGTCATCCAATGTTAATAAGAAAAGAATTGAAAATACAATGCTATACTTGGGTAGATTTTTGAAATAGGAAAAACTGAATGGTAAGGTACAATGCCATAATCAGGTAGATTTTTCAAAAGTTTTTAAGAAAAAAAAAATGTACAAGTACAATGTTGTAATAAAAGTATAATGGTATGTTTTGCATATATTTTTTTTAGTAAATTGGTTATTATTGTATATATCAGATTGGAGCATTTGCAGCTCCGGATAGAATCCATTGGGCACCAAGTCTTCCAAAAACAAGAAGTGGAAAGATAATGAGAAGAATTCTAAGAAAAATTGCATCTAGACAGCTGGACGAGCTTGGTGACATCAGCACCCTAGCAGATCCATCTGTAGTCGATCAGCTTATTGCTTTAGCTCATTCCTAAATTAAACAGCTTTTATTCAAAAACCACCAAATCCAGATTGACACATGAGGCTTTGATTGTATTAAAGTTGGCAACGGTTACATGGTCATGTTTTTTTTTTTTTTTTTTTCCGAGTCTTGTGAGGTATTTGTGATAATAATTCGGCTGATTTGTGTAATAACTCCATTTCTTTCAACATATACAGACCAACACTTTTTTTTAAAAAATATATATATATCTATAAACAAATAATTGTTGTGGTTAATGCCTAATCTTTTCAAAAATGAATTTTTGAAAAGAAAAATCTAAATAAGAATATACATAAAAGTGAATATGTAAAAATAGTAATTGTATTAGAAAAAATCATTCTTGTAAAAACACAGTTGTAAAAGAAGTTGAAAAAATAAAACAAATTCGGAAAAAATAAAAAGTGGACAAAAAGTGAAAGATCTGAAAGCTAGGTAGGAAATGGCATGGGTCCGAATCAAAAAAATAATAAAAAAAATATGGGAAAATGATTCAAGAGAATAACCAACTGATGATTTTGTTCACATATGTTCCTTTTTTTTACATAATATATCATTTAACTTGTTTGTATTCATCATAACCCTTTTGACTGGTTATGTGGAATTAACATACATTTCACCACCTTTCTCCTTAAACTAGGGTTCATACACGATTACGAAACCTTAACTCCCAATTCATACACCTCGTAATGTCAATCGAAGATTAAGGTTACTAAGTGTTTAATATTTTCTCATACAAGAACCATTTCTATCTATTTGAAAACTACAAAAACAAAAAAGATTAAAAAAAACACTTTTAAATGATGTGCTCTTAGGAACAATGTAAATGTTAATGTATATAACGCGCAGACACTTAAAAAACACTTTAAGCTACATATTAATCTGTTTGTTATGTCGTTCCATATAAAAAAAATAGGTCTAAGAAATATATGATTGATCTTTTCATCCTTATTATAAACAATAGTTTTAGAAAGTCCAACCTTCTAAAACTATAAATGAAATATAAATGAAATGACATCTTTTTTTTGCTAGAATACTGAAATTATAGAAGTCGAGTCCTCGATTCCTATGTAAAAACAGTTTAGTCTTTGGTCTTTTCTCTTTGGACTTCATATTAGAATTAAAAGTAAACTTTAGGTTGTATAAAATATAAATTTATAATTCTAAAATTTATACGGGGCGGGTTATAAACGGAGCGGATCGGTGATGATCCATACCTGACCCTTTAAATAAAAGGGTTAGCGGGTATGGGTCGTTAACGGGTAAACGGATCACAAACTATGCTCCAAACCCATATAATTATTAAGGGTTTGGAGCGGATCAGGGTCAAAACCCGCTCGATTGCCAGGCCTAGTTTTATGGTAATGTATTAAAATGTTGTTTGAATTTTGTTTTTGCATATAAAAAACCAAGATGCTGAGTTAGAAAATAAATAAAAAATAAACCAGCAAAAGCACCTATAAAATTAAGAAAGAAAACAGAAATGATGTTAAAGCTTAACTGAAAGCAGATAGAACCCCAAAAGATGGGACCGAAGCAAGTTCAGACAAACCTATTATTATAGACTAGTTGAAAATAATTGTTTTATGGATGGTTTTATTATTGGATACGTTTATGCAAGTTGTTTTTAATGTGTATGTTAATATATTTTATTTTCAGTCTCCAACATCCAGTGACTCGATCGATGAGGATGAGTTGCCAATAGAATATGATATACTTCGTCTTGAAGACAAGCAACAACGTCTTGTTAATACGACTACATTAGAAATTATCAACGTGTGAAACAACGAATAGTAATATTGGAAATCCCATTATCGCTTTCTGCGGTCGAGGAGCAGAGAAAACTAGCATTGTATAATATGCAAATGCTCCTCATTACGATGTCTGGAGATATACGACAGTTTGTGAACACAATGGACCTCATCGAAGAAGCACGTAGGAAAAATCCAACAACAGAAGATCGAGTCCAATTGAATGTGTTCAACCTAATTGAAACCTAGATGGAATTGTTTGAAAATCATGTAGACACCGCTAGTTTGTACCGGATGCAAGTTCTCGGTTATCCTGGAAATGTAATATAAAGATTAAATATTGTAATATCTTTTGAAACTTAAATATGTAAAAAGAACGGTATGGTTATCTAAAATGACAATGTTTTTCATTAACATTAGTACAAAGATTGTTACAATTCCTAATACATACTTATATTGGTTTCCACAAATTAGGAAATTATAAGGGATACATATTTTGTCCACGGTCAATAAATTCTCCTATAATTCTAACAACATTGTAACACCAGATCGGTTGAAAGCTCGTGCCACGACGTCGTATATGGAGCACCAGACGTGGCATGCTAAATGCATGAAGCACGCATCCGATGGCCGCCACGACGTGGCAATGATTGCAGTCTAAGCCCATGATTTTTAGGGTTTCTTCCATATTTAAGCACTTAATCTCAAGGATTAGGGCATCTTCTTTATCCCCCAACCCTTCTTCATTAAACCCTAGCCTCCATGGATAATTAAGAGCTTGGTTGCTAGATTGAAGACCTTATTCTTGGATTTTAGAGGAGCTTGAGGAAAGAGGAAGATCATTTTGGTGCAAGGGAAGCAAGGAATCAACTTGGACCCATCATCTCCTTCAGATTTTTGAGTTGTTGGAGGTATAAAGCTCTCATCTTGACCTTTTCTCTTCTTGATGGAAGTATAAGTTCATTTTTATTGATTTTGGTCCCTTCCTTGGACGCTCTTGGAGTTTGAAGAACTCCAGAGCTTGAGATGGATTTCTAAGGTCAATAAACTTCTGTGAATAAGAAAGAGTCATGTTTGGAGTATGTGCTCAAGTTATAGCCTTATTAAGGACTTAATGGATATAAAATTGTAGATATTGGCTTGTGGTGGAGTCGTAATGGATAAAGTTGGAAACTTTATCCATTAGGTAACCGAAAAGGACTAGATTTGAATCTATGGGTTTAGATCTGTAAGGGTTAAGCTCTTAATGAAGAGTATGTTAATCTTCCAGTTTCCACTATGTGGAAATGGGCTTCCCACGATGTGGTGGTTATCATCTTCGCGACTGTTTTGTCCTGATATGCCCACGATGTGGCCAAGAGGTCTCCACGTCGTGGTGGGGGTTGTCTTGGTTGACCATTGACTTTTGTTGACCGTTAACCATTGAATTTCTGACCAGTTTGACTTTGGCTCAAAGTTGAAGAAATTAGGTTATTGACTAAGGTTCTACCTTTTCTTGGTGCTAGTCGGTTCGTGGGAGCGATCAATGTAGGGAGTAAGCGTGTTGCTGTGTTTCCTTGGGTCTTTGATTCAGGTGAGTTTCCTCACTATACTATGTGTTACAATATATATATATATATATATATATATATATATATATATATATATATATATATATATATATATATATATCCTTGTGTGTTAGGATATATGAGTAGAGATATGCTGGTCAGAGTACCTGTAGGTTGGTAATCGTCTAGTGGAGCGCCCTTGGGGCTGTATGTAGTCACGCAGGATAGCCTGAGAACTCCTGATCCAAACTTTCTTGCATGTTCCTTGTTTGGTGTGGCTCTAGAGTGGGATCACCTGTTCAAATGTCCATCTCACCTCTGGTTACATATAACTATGCATTCCTTGGAGATCTGCCGGTAGTGGCATAGTGTACTGTATGAGGCCTGGTACATGGTAGTGAGATGTAAGACATGTAGACTAGTGTAGATAGTTTCCCATGTTTATATGCATAATTGGTTGCTTGTTTGTTACATATGTCATGTGACAACCCGATATTTCAAGGCAATGTAATGATCTAAAGTCAAGTATTGTAATCTATTTTCAATATAATAAAGAAATAACGTCTAAAATAAAATAATCAAAAAGTCTCAATTGAGGTACATAATATCTTAGATATCGTATCATGATTTTCAGAAATATAAAGAACACAAAAATCCGAGATATAACGAAGAAGTTATGACTAATCAAAGATTCGCGACAAAACCGGTAAAACACTGTCAAGTGTAAAAAGTGAAATTTCAATAAAATACTTTTTAGCCTTAGGTATCTACACGAAAGTCGTAGATTTTGTTAAACCGTAAACGTATATAAAAAGAACGTCCAAATCTGACTTCGTATGAGGAAGTTATGATTTTTCTAAGTTTCGGATATAGCAGTAGACAGCTAAAAACTCGAAATAGAGATCGAACGATTTTTAGCCGACGCAACCTTAACGAAAAACGAAGATCCCGACAATAGTAGAAGTATGGTAAAAATACAGACGAAAACGGACGTCAGATGAAGAAGATATGAATTTTTAACGGACTTTTCATGTCCCGACCTGTTAAAAATATAATATTAAAAAACTTAAGTCAAAATTAGCCGACGGAGTCTAAACCAAAGTTGTAGAGCATAATCTCACCTACGCGTGGATATGAAGAACATTGAAATCGGAGCTCATATGCGAGAGATATGAATTTCTGAAGTTCGGGGCACGCAAACCAACCTTATCCGGAGACCCACGACGTGAACTAGAGACTCACGACGTGAGTCTATGACTGATGTGTGCCAGAGTTAGACCACCAGACTTCGTGTTTACGGACCAAGCTCACGACGTGAGCCACCCCATGCCCACGACGTGAGTCCTGAAATTGCACCCTATAAATAGAAACCGAGGGTTTCAGTTTTAGTTGCTCATTTCTATCCTCTCTCCCACTCTTACTCTGCGTTAAGCACCCCGAGACAACCCCGACACCCCGGTTACATATCCAAACCCCGAAGAAGGCCCGAAACTCAGAAACTCCCGATAAATTTATCACTTTCCGGTCGAAGTACTGCCCGAGTAAAGTCTCGTTTTCATCAAATCATCCCACTTTCCAGGTGAGTTCATACCCCCTACATTTTCACGTCTTTTTCATGTTTTAAGGGGGGGAATACAAGTGAAACGCAAGAAAAACTTATGTTAAAATACGCATCGTTACATATGGTTTCAAATACTTTACCTACATTTTGTTTATAAATGTTAAACAATATTACTACCAACGTTACACTTTACATGCAAAGTTGGTATTACACCGAGTTTTATCACCAAATGGAACACACT